TTGTTACATTATAAAACAATGCATGTTTGATAATCATTGAGTACCATACTCCCATGCCCATTTATTTACAAGCAAGTTAAGCAAGGCATGTTGGAATCTATGCAAAATAAATAAATAAAAATTATCATGTTTTGAAGATGAGATTTGATGCGTCTGATGTGTGTGACATTGAACAGGCAAGAACATATGCAAAGGCCATCAATGCCACGTTGTTCTTTTCCAGTGCAACATACAACATCAACGTGAATAAGATCTTCAAGTTCATTACTGCCAAACTATTCGACCTACCATGGACAGTAGAAAGGAATCTAAATGTTGGGGAACCCATCATTGACTTCTGAAAATTGTACATTACATAGAGTTTTGAAGTTGTATGATCAAACGTCAACCGGTGCCATCTGGTGGTGTCATGAGTTAATATCTCTCACTCTAGGGGCAATCGAGTTGTTAGGTTTAGACATGTCAAATTGTCAATTCCTGTGGAAATTACAAGACTCTTCAATCAATATCATCACCAAACAATAAGGTTTTTCAAGGAGAGGAATAAAGGGCAAGTGAGAAATAAGAGAAATGAAAACAAAGGAGAGGACTAAGGTTTGTTTAAGCATAACAAGAGAAGGGGGCAAATGCATTATTGTTTATTGAGTTTAAATTAGTCAATGGTTGGTGCTCTTATCTTGCTCTTAAGGAATTGTCCTGTGAGTTACTGTCAAAAGAACATAGACAATGAGATAAGGAAGCTATAGAATCTCCTTTTGTTTCCTTTTTATTTCTCACCCAGTTTTGAAGTTCTGGTAATGCAAAGCTTCTTCTGAATAAATCTATCATTTCGTATGGTTCTCGCTTGTCTCTGTCACTCAAGTCTTGGGGATCTTTCAATTTGATAGAATTTCACATAATGTAATCCAGAAACCAATCCTAAGTCCTAACAAAAATGATGGGATTTTTTTCATGGACATCCATTAGTATTCAAAAACCGACAATTAAAAATTAACATTAATGATGAGATTTTGAATATCAAACAATAATGAACAAATTTTAGTGAAAATTATTCGAGAATTGAGCAAGCAACTTCAAATTACAAAACATGGTACTCTGAAAGCATTTATAAAAAGTGTGGCATAACTTTGACAATTTCAACTCTCTTTTGATCACACTGTATATAGGTACTATATGGATGTGTTGGAACATTGTTTCTACCTAAAATGGTCACAACCATGGTAGTATGAATTGGATGTATCGCAATTTGTATCGTATGATAAGATACAATTCTAAGGTTCCACGATTTGTATCGTGTTGCGAATCGAAAAATCGTGATTCAAGAAGAAATCACATGATTCTGGAAGTAGTGGGTCACATTTGAAATTAGGCCAGGTCATGAATGACCCGGTTCTAAAATCCTAAAAATTGATTTAAAAAAAAAAACAAAAGTAAGATAGAAAGTGTCAATAATACTCCCTCTAAATGACCCACTTAGTGGGTTTCACTTTTTGTAGTCCATTTGCTTAGTTCGAGTTCTCTGCTTCGTTCAGGTTCTTGTTCAACGTGGTCCCAAGGGTAAGGGCTTCCCTTCCTGTTGTGTGGTTCATTCCTTCACTTGTTCTCTCTTTGTTTTCTTTGTTATTCCCTCTACAACTTGCTGGTCCCATCTCTTTACTTGTTCTATATTTTTTTCTTTTGTTGTTCCCTCAACAACCAGCACATGCTGTTGTCTAAGTTTCTATTTGTTGGTACTTGGTAGGCCATTAAAAAATGGGTCATTCAAAAAGAGAGCCCGATATCACTTGGAACTATTGTGATAGTATCCCTCCAAACAGACTTAAAGTAAAATGTAAGTTATATTTTCATGTTTGTTAGGGTGGTATTTCAAAGATGAAACATCATCTTGTTGGAACAAAGGAAAATGTGATTGCTTGCACAAGTGTTCCTAATGATGTGAAGGAAATATTTGTCAAGTTCTTGAAAACTAAAGATAAAAAGAAAGAGGATTGCTTGGAAGTAGAGAATGGGATAGTAAAGGAAAAGAGGGAACATCTAAGGTTTTCAAACAAAAGACAATGAATGAAGTTTGTAAAGATAGGAAATTTGTGATTCAAGAAATTTGTAAATGCATTTATGGTAATGTATTACCATTTAATTTGGTAAGGAGTCCTCTTTTTATTCAAATGTTAAAGGTTGTTGGAGAATATGGAAGAGGTTTGAAGCCACCAAATTATCATGAGGTGAGGGTTTCTTTTTTGAAGAAAGTTGTTGACAACATCCAAAAAAGCTTAGAGAAATATAGAAGTGATTGGGAGAAATGGGGATGCACCTTGATGTGTGATGGTTGGACAAATGGAAAAGGAAGATCACTAACTAATTTTCTTGTTAATAGTTTAGGGTTTAGGGACTATTTTTTGAAATCTATTGATACTAGTGATGTGATAAAGGATGGAAAAAATGTTTGAATTGTTATACAACATTGTTGAAGAAATTGGGGGAACATGTAGTCCAAGTTGTGACAGATGGGGCTTCTAATCTTGTGGCATACATTGAGGAGATTGGAGAGCTTCCAGTATTCTATAATACCATTGCTAATGCAAAGAAGATTACTACCTACATATATAGGCATACATGGGTCCTTAATTTGTATAAACAATATTCCAATGGAAGGGAATTAGCAAGACCAGTTGTGACAAGATTTGCAACTTCGTATCTTGCACTAAATTGCATTAAACAACAAAATAATGCTCTTAGATCAATGTTTGTATCGGAGAAATGGGCTACTAGTCCACATGCTAGTAAAAGTGAGGCTAAGCAAGTCATGAACCTAGTGTTGAGTGATGATAGATTTTGGAGATCAATTATATATTGCCTAAAGTGCGTGATTCCACTTGTGAAAGTGTTAAAGCTTGTAGATGGTGATTCAAAGCCATATTGTTTATACAAATTAAGGACCCATGTATGCCTATATATGTAGGTAGTAATCTTCTTTGCATTAGCAATGGTATTATAGAATACTGGAAGCTCTCCAATCTCCTCAATGTATGCCACAAGATTAGAAGCCCCATCTGTCACAACTTGGACTACATGTTCCCCCAATTTCTTCAACAATGTTGTATAACAATTCAAACATTTTTTCCATCCTTTATCACATCACTAGTATCAATAGATTTCAAAAAATAGTCCCTAAACCCTAACGCTGGAAGGAGGTCCTACTGCTGGTTGAGTTCACGTACAATAATAGCTTTCATGCTAGTATTGAGATGATGTTGTTTGAAGCCTTGTATGGCAGAAGATGTAGGACTCCTCTATGCTGGTATCAAGATGGTGAATCAATGGTTGTGGGACCGAAGTTGATCCTACAGATTAAAGGTGAAACTGATTTAGAAAGAGGATGGAGACTGCTCAGAGCAGGCAGAGATCATATGCTGGTAAAAGGCATAAGCCTTTGGAGTTGCTGAAGGGTGACATGTATTTCATGTGGTCCTGCTGAGGAAGTACGTTCATGACCCGAGTCATGTGGTGGAGCTGGATGATGTACGAGTGAAGGAGAATCTGACATATGGGAAGTTGCCAGTAACTGTGGTTGATCATAAGCTGAAGGGGTTGAAGGGCAAGTCCATTGCCTGGTGAAGGTGTTGTGGGATGCAGCTACTGGTGAGTTCCATATTCTCCAACAACCTTTAACATTTGAATAAAAAGAGGACTCCTTACCAAATTAAATGGTAATACATTACCATAAATGCATTTACAAATTTCTTGAATCACAAATTTCCTATCTTTACAAACTTCATTCATTGTCTTTTGTTTGAAAACCTTAGATGTTCCCTCTTTTCCTTTACTATCCCATTCTCTACTTCCAAGCAATCCTCTTTCTTTTTATCTTTAGTTTTCAAGAACTTGACAAATATTTCCTTCACATCATTAGGAACACTTGTGCAAGCAATCACATTTTCCTTTGTTCCAACAAGATGATGTTTCATCTTTGAAATACCACCCTAACAAACATGAAAATATAACTTACATTTTACTTTAAGTCTGTTTGGAGGGATACTATCACAATAGTTCCAAGTGATATCGGGCTCTCTTTTTGAATGACCCATTTTTTAATGGCCTACCAAGTACCAACAAATAGAAACTTAGACAACAGCATGTGCTGGTTGTTGAGGGAACAACAAAAGAAAAAAATATAGAACAAGTAAAGAGATGGGACCAGCAAGTTGTAGAGGGAATAACAAAGAAAACAAAGAGAGAACAAGTGAAGGAATGAACCACACAACAGGAAGGGAAGCCCTTACCCTTGGGACCACGTTGAACAAGAACCTGAACGAAGCAGAGAACTCGAACTAAGCAAATGGACTACAAAAAGTGAAACCCACTAAGTGGGTCATTTAGAGGGAGTATTATTGACACTTTCTATCTTACTTTTGTTTTTTTTTTTAAATCAATTTTTAGGATTTTAGAACCGGGTCATTCATGACCTGGCCTAATTTCAAATGTGACCCACTACTTCCAGAATCATGTGATTTCTTCTTGAATCACGATTTTTCGATTCGCAACACGATACAAATCGTGGAACCTTAGAATTGTATCTTATCATACGATACAAATTGCGATACATCCAATTCATACTACCATGGTTGTGAAGCTCCCTATTGATTTGCAATGGACCATCGCCAGTCAGGTTAGGATTCCACTGTTTAACATTAAAAAAAAAAAAAAAAA